TTTTTTTTTTTATAGAGACGTTTCGCCGTCTATCCAAAGGGCTTCATCAGTCTGAGGAGTTCCAGTAAACCTTTTAGTTTGAGTTTGACTATGAAATATTGGGTTACGATAGGAACCTTTCTTACGCCTAGGTGCAGCCACACTAAAATGGAAGTTGGCACGTTGATTATTTTTCAAGGGATGCTCACAAGATGGATGGACAGATAGAGGTTAGCTCCAGTTCCCGCCTTCGCTCCACAACCGGGGACAAAAGGCGACGAAGCAGCCGGGCTTCTGTAACTGAAGCTGCGTGGAGTTCTGAGCTTAAAGCTGCACAAAGTTTTGTCATTATTATTATTATTATTATATTTGGATCGATGCACGTCCCCCTTCTGTTCAGACACTTTGAGATATGTCAAATATGATTCAGTCCCACGTGTGAAAACAAACCTGAGTGGGGTTATAATAAATCACATTTGTCTTGTTCAGACATCATGGATAATTTTCCCTGCAGTGTGAACGTAGTTAATCTGATGTTGTGTAATTCTTCTCTTCTCAGAACACGACAAACGGCGTCCATCACGGCGAATAAACAGTTCGGAAGTTTTAAAACAAATAAAAGACAAATTTGAACAAGGCGGCTGAAAATGACCGCCTAAGTTTAAAGTTTAAACAAACCTAAAGATGTTTATTATGACTCATCTGTTGTGCATTCATTTATTTTTTTTCTGTTACGGGATCTGCAGAGGGTCTTTTCTCCTGCACAATTAAATCCAAACCAAAACGAAAACGGCTTTTAATCTAAAACTGATTCGGGGGCTCCGGCGTGTTTCTCTTCTTTTTCTATAAAAAAGATCTTTCATGCTGAAATTCTTCGCCGCTCCATCCTCTGTGATTTACAGGATCGTTCTTAGAACTCTGGTTTATTCTGTTCACGTTTTCTTACAGAACCTCGTGCTCGTTTAGTCTTTTCCTCTCTGTGAACCCAGAACCTCTCAGCAGGGATCCGTCACTAACCGGAGGACAGCGTTCGGTACAAACGTGTTTTTATTTAACGCTCCTTTGATGCTGGTTTGTCGTCAGGATTATTATTTTTTCTGCAGACAAACACGAAGCTTACATTCTGTTCGTGTTTATATGTCTGTTAGTATCTCATGAACCACTCGACCATTTTTAACACAATTTAGCACAAATTGTTTTCTCCACGTCTCTTGAGGTCAACCCGATTCAAGATGGCCGCCGCAGCCAACTGACTTAAAAATGCACCAACACTGACCATAAATCTGTCATATTTACAGATACTGAGCTAAAATTTGGTCAGTCATTCCCAACAGATGCTCTGAGTGCTCAATGATTGATGGAGATTGCCGTCAACTTGTTGCAGTCAACTTTGTCTGTTAGGAAAATATCTCATGTTCCACCAAATTAATTTTAAGGAAACTTTGAGGAACTAATCACTGATTTTAGGTTTACAGCTGATTAAGTGTAGGAGTAAGCAAAAATCAAGATGGCTGCCACAGCCAGCTGACCTTAAGGAAACACAAAAATGGCTTTAAGTCGACCCGAGTTAGTTATTGTACTAAAATTTGGTGTGGTAGTAGCTGAGAGTTATTCACAAACACACACTCATTTCGAATAGGGAGAACCCTTGGTGTTGGTTTTCCTCGTCTGAGCTCACCTTATGTCTCATGAATGCAGATGTTTGTTTGTTTGTTTTTGTTTGTGAACTGCTTCCTGTTTGTGCGCCGCTCCTCAGGTTGCTGAAAGGCACGGCGTACCACTGGGACCTGATGCTTTCGGGGCTCATCAACATCCTGATGTCGGTGCTGGGGTTGCCTTGGATGCACGCCGCTTTCCCCCACTCCACCCTCCACGTGCGCCAGCTGGCCTTTGTGGAGCAGCGGGTGGAGGGGGGGCACCTCTACGAGACGTGAGTTACACCTTATTGGTTTTTTTTTGATAGGGGTGTAATGGTACCAAATCTTCTTGATACAGACATTTGGCCGGGATACAGCGAAGCTTCAGTCACACGCGATCACGGCTCTTATCTAGAACTAAATGCTAACACCATTTAGCTAACGGCTACAACAGAAAAGAAGCAGAGGAAGATTTTATTTTAATCTCTGCATCAAACAAAACATGAATTTGAGTATGTTTGACTCCAATCATCTGTTTCCTGGTCGTAATTCACCACAGTTTAGAAGAAGAGGTGAAGTACGGCAAGCAGTTATATTAGATAATATGCAAGTTGAAGCGTGGTATGGCAAACAGTTTCTGTATTTATTTGATATTCCTGTTGTTTCCCACACTAGCACTAGCTTGTAGAGACGCCTGATGTGAGCATTTCACCTTTTTATCTGCTGAACGCAACAGGGGTGATGATGTTTAAACAAACCCATCTTTGTTCAAACAAAATGTTCTCCTGAACCACCGGACGATGGCGATGAAACTTTCAGAAAGTAATTAGTGGAAAATTAAAGCGATGAACGTTTGGAGTCAATCTGATTCAAGATGGCTGCCACTGCCAACTGGCCCTAAAACTCACAAAAGGGACCATACCTCACTCTGTTCTACAGAGACTGAGCTTAAACTTGGGGTGGTAGTAGATGAGAGTCATCCCCTACACATAATCCAGATTGCACAATATTTTTAAGGTTTAACCAAAATGGCTGCCACTCGACATGAGGTGATGTTGGTCCTAAAAGTTGGTGAGGGATCTTCATTCCTTCAAGGACTGTGAGGCGTTAAATTGAGACTGGAGTTTTAAGACAGCAGAAGTCGCTTTGGTCTTGGTTTGTCTCGGACTAGCCGTTAGCTCGTTAGCCTAATTTTCTCCAAGAGTTATCTGCGACAGGTAAGATATTGATTATTAAATTATAAGTTTTCCACTTTAAAAGTTTGGAGCCTTCTCTTTAAGTTCCGTGGAAACAGGATGAAAAAAAGTATTTAATGTAGAACGTGCCTGAAGGAACACCTCTGAAACTGAGACTCACCGTGTGCGTCTCCGCAGCATCGTCCAGGTGAAGGAGACCCGCCTGACGTCTCTGGCTGCCAACATCTTCATCGGCGTGTCTGTCATGCTGCTGCCCGTCCCGCTGCAGTGGATCCCCAAACCGGTCCTGTACGGCCTCTTCCTCTACATCGCCCTCACCTCCATTGACGGGAACCAGATGTGTGACCGCATGGCTCTCCTCCTGAAGGAGCAGGTGTGTGTGCGTGCGTGCACGAGTGCGTGCATGTGTGTGTTCTCCCATATGTTGGCTGCAGAAGCAGATCAAACAGTTGATCCGGTGCCCAGTCCTGAGGGACCAGCTCTGACGCCTGAAAATATTTTAATTTCTTTTAGTTTTAATCTCGGACTCACAGGAAGTGATGACTTTGTTTTTCTGAATTCAGGCGAGTTAAAATAAGAAATAAATAAATAAAAATAACCGTCGATCCGCCGTTTGGTGAAAACCTGCAGGAGTCTTCGGTTTCTTCTCGTCACACCAGCGCCACCAGGTGGTCAGAGCAGGAAATGCTTCAATTATTAGAAATCTGCATTAAAATTAAAAGTGTTTAAAAAAACATTGAACCCTGCTGCTGCCCTTGGGTGGGCCCTCGTCTGCCTGTTAGCAAAATATCTCATGACATGAGTTCATCAAAACTCAAAGTAATGATTGGTTGAACCTCTACATGTGGTTAAGTTATAGAGTCTGGCCAAATCAAGATGGCCGCTGCAGCTAATCAACCTTCCCTCCCCCACAGACCTCCTACCCGCCCACCCACTACATCCGCAAAGTGCCCCAGAGGAAGATCCACTACTTCACCTTCCTGCAGATGGTGCAGCTGCTGGTGCTCTGCACCTTCGGCATGTACCCAATCCCCTACATGAAGATGATCTTCCCTCTGGTCATGGTCCTTCTGATCCCCGTCAGGTACGTCCGTCCCTGCCTCCACCCACGCAGGCTCAGAACCAGCCACACAGGCCCCAACAGACCCCCATAGATGTCCCTCAGTAGATCCCCTCAGGCTGTTCGTCTCCATCATCAAACTTCTGGTTGATCTCAGACCACTCCTCCTCCTTTTTTTTCCTCCGACTCCCAACTGGTTTTAATCAGAGTCCACAAATTATCAGTTGGGTTCAGGTCTTGGCTTTGGGAAGACCAGTCCAGAAGCTTCATGTGAGCCTAATTTAACCAGTTCTGGTGTGAGTGGGATCATTGTCGTGTTGGATCCAACTGTGTCCACATTTCAACCGTCCAGCTGTTGGCTGGAGGTGAAGCTGAAGAAGTTGGAGGTGGTCCTCCTCACTTTGGACCACAGCACTGGTGAGCAGGGACACTGGTGAGCAAGGACACTGGTGAGCAGGGACACTGGTGGGCGGGGACATTGGTGGACAGGGACACTGGTAGACAGGGACACTGGTAGACCGGGACACTGGTGGGCAGGGACATTGGAGGACAGGAGAATCTAGTGGTGTTCCGACAGATCTCAGTTCATGGCAGGTTGAGCCTTTCTGACTCTTGAGATGGTCGTGAACTTCTGAACCAGTTTTCTTCCACCTGAGAAGGACAGATGAGTGTTGGACAGTTCAGTGAGGACAGATGAGTGTTGGACAGTTCATTGAGGACAGATGAGTGTTGGACAGTTCAGTGAGGACAGATGATTGTTGGACAGTTCAGTGTGGACAGATGAGTGTTGGACAGTTCAGTGAGGACAAATGAGTGTTGGACAGTTCAGTGAGGACA